GGGAACTGGGAATGGGCACGGGGAGAGTCTGGAGAACACTGGGACAAACCTGGAAGGGCTCTGGGAAGGGCTGGGGGGGTCCCGGGGGAAAAGCAAAACACAGAGCCGGGAATAACATCGGGAATAGCAATGGGAATAACATCGGGAATAACAACGGGAATAACGGCCGGGAGAACCGGGAATAACAACGGGGAGAAACGGGACTAAGGGTCGGGAACAACCGGGTCTGAGGGCCGGGAATAACCGGGAATAAGGGCCGGGAATAATCGGGACTAAGGGCCGGAATAACCGGGACTGAGGGCCGGGAATAAAGGCCGGGGATAACCGGGAATAAAGGCCGGGAATAAGGGCCGGGATAACCGGGATCGCGGGCAGGGAATAACCGGGAATAAAGGCCGGGGATAACCGGGAATAAAGGCCGGGATAACCGGGAATAAAGCCCGGGAATAACCGGGAATAAAGGCCGGGGATAACCGGGAATAAAGGCCGGGAATAACCGGGAATAAGGGCCGGGATAACCGGGAATAAGGGCCGGGATAACCGGGAATAAGGGCCGGGATAACCGGGAATAAGGGCCGGGATAACCGGGAATAAGGACCGGGAATAACCGGGAATAAAGGCCGGGAATAACCGGGAATAAAGGCCGGGGATAACCGGGAATAAGGGCCGGGATAACCGGGACCGCGGGCCGGGCCTCACCTCCTCTGCCGGTTCCAGCGCACCAGGGTCCAGTAGCCGAGCAGGAGGCTCCCGACGCCGAGCGCGAACAGGCTGTACCCTGAGGGCCGGGAGGGCTCAGCGCGCTCAGCGGCCCCGCTCCGCCCCCCGCCGCCCCCCGGGGCTCCCCCCGGGGCTCCCCCCGGGCTCACCTGAGAGGCCGCGGCGCGGGAGGTGCCGCTTGTAATCGATGGGGCCGTACCCGCCCGGCGGGGGCATGTCCTGCTTCACCTTGGGCGCCGCCATTGCGGCGCGGCTTGATGACGTCACGGCGCCGCGCTGGCTCCGCCTTCCCTCCCCGCCCAGTTCCCGCGCGCGGGAAACTCACGTGGTGCAGGCACGTGAGGGGTGGGGCCGCCGCTTAAAGGGGCAACGCGCGGTTAAAAGGGCAACGCGCGCTTAAAGGGGCAACGCGAGTTTAAAGGGGCAATGGACCAGGTGGGGCCGCAATGGGGGGGGGGGGCTCGGAGACCCCCGGGATCCCCCCAGGAAATCTGGGATCCGCTCCCAGGATTCCCGGGAAATCCCACGGGAAAAGGGGCTGGAAAACATGGAATATCCCGAGTTTTCCCGTCCCTCCGCAGCGGGATCCATTCCCTGATTCCCTCTTTTTCCCAATCCCGTGGGAATTCGGGATAATTCCATGGAAATTCGGGATAGTTCTGTGCGAATCTGGGATAATTCCATGGAAATTCGGGATAATTCCATGGAAATTTGGGATAATTCCATGGGAATTCC